TCCATGCTTTGAATGTCTATCCCATATGACCCTTTATTCCCTGGTGAAAGAGCCATTGGCATTAAAAGCGCAATTTTCAAACAACAATTGGCTCTCTGACATACATACAAACTGAAATAACTAAAATATCCAGAGACATGTGCTAATCTGTTTTGTCAGAAGTCGCATTTACTTAGAAAGCCATCAATAAACACAAATTAAAGACGCACAAAGTTGTTCACATGGTTTTGCAAATGAATAGAAATAAAGTGGGCATTATACATTAGCTGCTGCCATTGTTTTTTACAGCCTGATGACATCTAATCAATAATCCTTATTGTGATATATTTTCCCTAATAGAAGAGGAGATGCAGGCCCCTTTTCATTGGACGGCAGATTGCAATTGGTTTAGACAGCCGTAATGAGGCAGATTATCAATACAGGAGGAGGAAGTACGAGTTCGGAAACATACATAGTGATTGATTGGTAAAATCCCCAGTTTATAGTAAAGTGCGTGATTCTTGCTCTTTTTAGCATTCATTATTGCTATTTCCTAATTAAAGGGTTACTCCAGGCACCATGCCCACTTCAGTGATTTTTAAGTGGTCAAGGTGCAGTGACACTGTATGCGCAGTATTTAAATATGCACACACAGAGTTAAACCCCTTTAGGGCAGGAGGTCTCACTCCACCATCAGCAGCATCATGGGACGTCATCAGCCATACCCATTGTACAGCGCTACGGAATCTGATGGCGCTATATAAATAATAAAATAATAATAATCCCTGGGCAAATGTATGCTCCCAGACTTTGATACAATGGCAGCGCAGGTAGCTGATGCTTTCGTCTAATTAATGAGCGTCCGGATGAACATCCAGCTTCTGCAGCTCTGAAGAGATCGGGCACCTGGCAGGACCAGGTAAGAGGGAAAACAATTGTTTGGGAAAACAATTGTTTGGCACAACTAGTGCCAGTTATTAAAAACAAAACAACAACAAACACAAATGTATGTGATAGAAGTTTCAATATAGCTGCCATGCAAATTAGTTTAATTTTAAACATTGGGTTTAATTCCAGCTTACACCTGTATATTATTTTTTCATCCCAGAGCTAAGAAAAATACTTCATCAAAGTGTTAGTCCTCGTGTTGGCTGGAAATCGGCCAAATTGGATTTTACTTCCAATGCAGCTATTAAATTCTTTTTACGTCCATCAAATAAATGTTGAATGAGTTGACCTTATAAATAATTTTACTGCAGGCTCCAACCTTTTGTTCTTAAAGCTGAATATACATTATCTATTTAATTTATTTTTATATCTTGCATTCATATTGGAGGCAAAATATAAACACTGACATATAGACTGTAATACATATGAACAATTAAAATGGTCACGTCGTGCCTTTCATGTCCAAACATTATAGAGAACAGACCACCACATATGGCTATTGGAAAGACCACCACATCTGGCTAATGGAAAGACCAACACAGACCACCACATCTGGCTATTGGAAAGACCAACACAGACCACCACATCTGGCTATTGGAAAGACGAACACAGACCACCACATCTGGCTATTGGAAAGACCAACACAGACCACCACATCTGGCTATTGGAAAGACCAACACAGACCACCACATCTGGCTATTGGAAAGACCACCACATCTGGCTAATGGAAAGACCAACACAGACCACCACATCTGGCTATTGGAAAGACCAACACAGACCACCACATCTGGCTATTGGAAAGACCAACACAGACCACCACATCTGGCTATTGGAAAGACCAACACAGACCACCACATCTGGCTATTGGAAAGACCACCACATCTGGCTAATGGAAAGACCAACACAGACCACCACATCTGGCTATTGGAAAGACCATCACATCTGGCTAATGGAAAGACCACCACATGGGACTAATGGATAGACCTTTACAGACCACCACATTTGGCTAATGGAAGGACCATCTCAAATAACCTAGTTTGTTTCCTTATTCAGTCGCTATGGACACCACACGAGGTTGCAGCCTGTCTGTTTATAGAAACATCTTTTGGTTACAATCCCTCCATCCCTTTTCTCATCATTCTTCTTTTCAGTACCAAGCACCAGTGGCGGCTGGTGACATTTTAAGATGGTGGGGCGCTAAACTTCCCCCTGGAATTTGACTTATAATAAGTCAATATATAAAGCATACGGTTTTATTAGCTAAACTCAAAATTGAAGCGAATAAAAAACTAAATGATAACATTCCGTCCAAAAACAGGTGCATTTCCATACGTTTTGCAGTTTGGATCTCAGTCCACTGCAGGGTGGAGTTTAGTGAATAAACCCCCATAGTATCCCCTATAATGTATTAATATGATCCCCAAATATAATCTAAAATTACCATCTATTGGGCAAAAAGTCTAATCATCACAGAGAATACTAAAAATAATATAACAATAACAATAAATAAAATAATTAAAAAGGAAGGGGAATTGAAAATGCTTCCTGATATAGTACATAATAAATATAGCATAATAATAAAACATAGCATAATACCATAGACTACTTTAACTGGAAGGGTTACAGCTTTTCTGTTAAAAACACAAATTACCAGTTAAAGGGTTACTCCAAGCACCGTGACCAGTGCAGTGATTTGAATTAGTGATGGTGCCAGGAGTCTGTATGTTCGGTGTTTCGCTTCACATACAGAGTTTAACCCCTCTGCTGCCGATGGTGTAACTGATTGAGGTGTCATCGGAGTTCTGGGCTGGCTAGCATCCCTTGTTACATTTCCTATGCCCTCGTTACGATGCCTGTTACAGATCCATGCTACCCATTGACTGAAATAGTGCTCTTCCTTTATTTGATTTTGTCTTGCTCTCGTTTAATTATTTCCAGATTATTTCTGTCTTTATAATCTTAGTCTGCGTAAATCATCTAGTCAATGACAAATATTCACAATTTAAATTAAATCTGAAAAAAAAAAAAACTTTTCCCAGCCATACTTCTACCTCTAAATGTAAGTGTGTATACCATTTCAAGATCTATAGAAGAAGCAGATTTTAATCAAAGCGTTTCTTAATAAGCCGTGTTCCGGCAGCTCCAGTGAGCCACGATGGACAGTATAACACGTTTTCTCATTAAATCTATTTATGCCGAATATATTGGTTTCCTTAGATACTGCAGGCTTCCTCTCTGTTAGTCTTATTTCATGAATTGACCCCATCAAGAAAACAAGCAAAGCTTCTATTTATTTACAGAGAATGGGAAGGTAATGGGTTTTTAAAATATTTTAGGGAAAGTCTCCTGTATAATCAAGCTTAAGGTCACATTTGGTTTACCTGCTGGGTGCCTGATAAATCAGGTTATCTAAAATCACGCTATACAGTAACTCTGCATTACAATAGGGCACAGAGTCTCTATTCTGCTATCAAATAGAATTTCCTGTTTCTGTATACTACGCAGTAATATTGCGAGCATATCACGGATGATGAATCGGTGATGCTTTAAATTTTTTAGCTTTGGATAACAGAATGGGGTTAGGGTTAAGGCTTTATGGGGTAGAAGGTTAGATATAGTAGGATTGGGATTCCATTTAAAAGGCCTTCATCTCTTACCCTTGATTGGACCCGTAAGTGATAAATGACCTAAGTCAATGAAAACGCCTCTTCCAATTCATCAAAGCTAAAACATCCTATTCCCTACAGACTGTCATACAAATATAACATGGTATTATGTAACAATATTGGAACAGTATCTATACGTTATGTTGGCCAGATTGCCAATGAAAGTAAAGATAAAATGTAACTCCTAAATTTCGTTTTTTTTGCTATTTATTTCCTTGCCGCTTGTGGCGGCCCTCTAGGAATTGTGGTATTTTGAGGTTGTTCTACGAATATTCCAGAGGCAGTTACATTAGTAATGTATACATTTGCTGACAATATTGCTATCTCAATGAACCAGTCACATTCCAGTACTAGTTGCAGGATCCTCCTTTGCATTCACAATGAGGTGTCTGTTCCCATCTACCTCCTTGACTGACGGTTGAAGGAAATGGTAAGAAGCTGTTTGAAGCTATACCATTTTATTGCCATACATAGACAACGCAGTCCAGACTTTGTCTTAAGATATCTTTTGCTTGTGCTACAATTTTACTTAAATTCCAGCATAGTGGGTCGGGACCTGACCATCATCATGGTGGACGGATACAGGCCGTGCAAGCTCCTCACTCATAACTCATAACTGTTAAAATGCTGTTTCAGCCAATCAAACAACTCTTATAGATAACATACAGAATATTGGAACTATTGGGCACTTCTCTTGTGATTTTTTAATCTTTTCGTGTTGTAGTTGTGGATCTCCAGTCTTTTAGATTTGTGGCCTAGTGTGGGCTTGAATGGGAGTGGTGGCGGACCTCCTTGACAGGAAACAATCAAAAACAGGAAGGTGTACAATACACCAACCAGAGAAGTGTAGCGTGTAAGGTGTACTGTAGGATACACCTACCTTTTGTTGGGATGTAGGGATTAAGCTGTAAAATGGAAGGGGGGGGGGGAAGGATTAATAGTGTAATAATGTCAGGGGTATAAGTGGACTGTATGTGTCCAATGGTCCAACTCACATGGGAATGAGCCATCCAGGAACGGCTCAGATCGTAAAGACAGAAGTGTACAAAGTGACACAATCTCCTCTTCTGTCCGCTCAAATATGGTATATGAAACAAAAAATAAGTGGGGAAACCAGTAGACTTCTGGTGTAGTATGTAAGGTATGAAAAAACAGATATACAATAAAAAGATCTTGCACCTTATCCAGAGCCCTCAATGCCTGGCTCAAGGTGATAGCAAACCCTTCTTTTCAAGCAAGCAGGCAGGAGTGATTTATAGGACTATATTATTTAATAAACATAATTAAAAACAAAGTAACAAAAATAAAAAGCTAGCTGCCAAGAATACAAACAAATTGTCCTTGTTCCTCCTCCGATACGCGTTTCACCCTTTCCTAGGGCTTTCTCAATCGGTGTATCCTGCTTCCATGCTGATTTTCTTTAAAAAGGGCTCCCTCTTCTTTAATTGGTCCGTGTGCTCGTCTTCATCCAATCAGGGTCGTGGATTTTGGGGGTAAGTATCTTCCCCAGCTGATATCTGTTCAGTCTATCAGCATTCCGGAAGTGATGCGATATCGTCACTCCGTTCTGAAACCCCTTTATATCATTCATCAATCGAAAACAGGAAGATTTGTTTTGTAAACAATTTTTTAAAGCTTCTTCTTCCATCTTTAATTGGGGATAAATCACTCGAGTTAAGGGAAAGCAGTGATGTAGATCGGTAACTGCACTATATGTGTGCTCTAGGCTGTTCTGAGAGGAAATACCGATATCGGTATCTCTCATTCAGCAGATTGCCAGTGTATGAATGGTATAGAATAGATAACAAATCATAAATATATATTGGTATTCCCTCTCAGATACCGATATCGGTATTCCCTCTCAGAATACCAATATCGGTATTCCCTCTCAGAATACAGATATCGGTATTCCCTCTCAGAATACAGATATCGGTATTCCCTCTCAGAACACCGATATCGGTATTCCCTCTCAGAACACCGATATCGGTATTCCCTCTCAGAATACCGATATCGGTATTCCCTCTCAGAATACAGATATCGGTATTCCCTCTCAGAATAGCCTAGACCACACATATAGTGTCCTTACCGATCTACATAACTGCTTTCTCTTAAGTTGAGTGATTTATCCCCAATTAAAGATGGCGGAAGAAGCTTTAAAAACAAAAACAAAAAAAAAACACTTCCCGTTTTCTGTGGAAGAATCACTCACTGCATTGATGCCTTTCTTACAGCATTTGATAATATCGTTAGGCTACTGTGGCTTTGTCTCAACATGGCTTCTACAATCTATACCTCCTGTTGTGCAATCGGATCCTGGTGATGCCACAGTCCATTCCTCATTTTCTTGGCCGAGAACCCAGAAGGATCCTATTAGAAAACTCCACAAGCCATCCGATGTAAGGGACATTTTCAGGACTCTGACCTGAAAAATCAGTGGACAGTGTGTCATGGTTCTTGTTTAGGCCTGGGGCCGGAGAAGTGTATTTAAGGGGCACTACTGGACTCACTTTACTTAACTACATCTACTCTCTCACTATGTAGGTACCCGAGCCTGGGTATATCTTGACTTTGACGACTACATGCCTAGGATTGACCATTTTCTTGTGGATCCTGTCTAAGCAGTTGCATCTTGTTTTTGCTTTAAATAGATATAACCTTTGCCAAGTTTTCTTTATCTGGTCTATTGAGTCACCTACTTACTCGGTAGATATTTAACTAATCTGATCATCTGAAGCATATGTAGTCCTGTCTTTAATATGACGCATTTATGCTATCTGTTTTCACTATTCTTTCTAATGTTAAAATTGTGGTATTGTTTTTCATTCTACATAATGCCAATTCCTCTCATGCTATCCCTGCATACAGTACTTGGATAGATCTATTTTTTCATTTTCTTATCTCCTGTGCCTACAAGTATAATATGACGACTGTCTGCGTAATGTTATGTTGGTAACTCTCACTGTATACTCTCTGTTTAACACTCAATAAAAACAGATAAAAAAACCAAAAACAATTCAAGCATACTCTCCGTAAATTTTTCATGAAGATTCTATCTTTATAATAAACCTTTTATTATAAGATTTAGAGGCCTACAATGCACCAAGCATCAATTACGTTTAGGAATAGCACAGGTCTATGGGTTTAGTATACTGTAATGGTGATAAAAATGAGTTGTAATACTCACTGCCTTGACATCTTTCTCTAATGACCACCAAAAATAAACTGAGCGAAGACTGACTGCTCTGCGCCGTGCATCTGCCTGGCACCGCGGGTGCTCTGCAATCTCTCTAATTACTGCGCATTAATTAGGATATATGGAAGTTAATGTCTGCCAAACCCCTCAGCATTAAGAGGTGTAAAAACTAAGAGAATTAATGTCAGGTGAGATCTGTGAACCTGTGAATGTTTTATAGTTTTGATAACAATCTCAGCAGATAGGCCGCCTTTCTATGGTTTAGCGATTGGTTTTAGCATAATCTGTATCTGCTATTTTATGAAGATTGAGGGGTAAAAAAATCTCATAAATTAAGAGAGTTTTACTTACCATTAGTCCCCCTGATGCACCGGTCTTGAAGCAGCCAATACTCCTTCCATGGCTGAGATTATCAATACTGATTATCTCAGCTAATCCAATGCTTCTCTATTGGGAAGCAGTGCAGGCCAACCGCGCATAGGTAGCAAACACAGCAATGCACAAATCTCGTTTTCGAATCATGTTTTGTAAGGATATAATCGTATAACACTGCACTTAATTGATTTGAAGATGTTGCCCTATCAACATAATGGTAGTGCTCAGACAGTATACTGTCTTGTATACGCTGATGTAAATTATGTCCCCAAACTTTGCCTCAGTATTTTTATCATATTCATGAACATGTCTAAAAGCAACCGTTGCTTAATAAAGAATACGATGAATGACTGTGCTCCTCCGTAGATTGTATACGCCAGCTACATGACCTAAATGTGCAAAGCTCAGTTTCAGCAGACCTTGACATAAGAGACCTCAGACAGACCTGTTTTTATCACTTTTATTTGCAAGAGATAAAAAGGGAAAGCTTTTGGGAATGGTGCATAAGACTTGCTGTTTCCTCCGCCTGGTGGACAATTTAATACCATGCTTCGTAACACTTCCCATTGTCCGTAACTGAAGCCGTGATTTCTTTTTTATTTCCAGTTAAAGGTCACCAGTGAGTGAATCGGATTGCCGCAACTAATTCTCCCCAGCGCCCAAGTCCCCTGTCAGTTATTTTGTTATTCACATTCTCTAAAACATCGCTGTCTGGTAACTGGGAATTCTAAACAAAACACGCCACGCTTTTCAGTGCTGATTAGTAGTTTGTAAATTACATTGGATTTGACAGACTTAAATGAATTAATTGTACAATTTGCTGGCACGGTTCATGGAATGAAAAGACAGTCTAAACTGGAGTGTTGATTAAATTAGAACTTGTTTAACAAGAGATGCAGGTTGTTTAATAGGTAGTCCGCAATCCTATGGCATTTATTCACTAAAGACCAACTGGCAGTCAGCTGAGAAACGCTAGGACTACATTCTCTACTTGTCTGGTTTATTCACACAAATGTATGAGGGAATTACAAACTTTTAGGCTGAAAACACTTAATTAAACAGTTTTTTTCAAACTCTATTATAATTTACCATTTCCAATTGAATAATCACCGTAGTTAATGGCACCGGGGTTTAATGACTATAGAGCAATTTTTTGGTGAATTCTAAAAAGAATTGCCGAATTGAGGCATAAGGTGTTGGCTGTAAAAATATCAAACACTGCTAGTCATATCGTGGTTATTTTTACTTAAAGCTTGCGATTCAATTTTCAATTCACTGCAACTAAATACTAATGAATAAAACGTACACTTTTTTAAAACTGCTTCGATCATGTGTTTGTTTTTTAAGAAACATTTCTCTTGCTATAATTCTTTCTTTTATAACGAGCTACTCCCCTCTGCTTGCTGTTGGGGTGTTACCGTCTGCAGAACTTACACATTTTATTCACACCCCTAATTCCGATACATTAGAAAGGTAAGAATTACTAGCTAAATAAATAAAAGTTATACAGAACTTCCCTTTCCTACTGCCGAAATAGAAACATCTCCAGAGGCTACGGAGATTCTGTAATCTCTGGAAACATGTCTATCTGCTAATCTGAACTATTACACATGGCAGTGCCAGTATAAATCCTTAGACCTTATTCACTAAACTGTGAATCCGCAAGGAAACTGCAACATTTAGGTCTAAATTCTCAGGTTCTGGTAATCATGTCACAATGTCAATAGAATTCTCTGTTTAGTGAACTGTTCCTGTTATATTTTAACACAGCACAATTAGTGATATGTAAACAACAATAATGCAGTAATAATAAATAGTAATGAAAAAAAAATGTTTTCTACTGTGATACATTTTAGGGATGTGCATGGGCCGAAATTTGGGACTTTGGCAATTCCCTAATCCTAACCCCTAACCTCACCTCAACCCTACCCCTAACAACCACAACCACTTACACATCTAGGGCTAGGGTTAGAGGTTAGGGGTAGGGTTATACTGCGGTCATCATGCCCTGAATTTTCCCTAATCTCCTGTTTTGCTACTTTTCAGAAATCCAAAGCACTTCGGCACTTCTGAAATTCGGCACCTCTGCAATTTGGTTCGGCAATTCGGCACTAAGGCAATTTGGTTTGGGTCGGCATTTCGTAAATTCATCCGAATTTACATTCGGAACGAAACGAATTGCACATGTCTAATACATTTATTTAAGTGGAATAGAAAGCCAGATGATTGGTTTAAGACTGATTTCATGCCTGCAACAAAATCAAATATCTATTAGCTAGTATACTGGATTAAAGATTTAATTGTTTACTGAGGAAATAAAGAACTAGTGGGAAAACAAAAACAGGTTTAATTAGGAAAAGTCACCAAAGTAATGAGCCTCCCCTAACCCTTGGTTTACATCGATGGCAGTATCCAGACAGGACGGGCAGACTCTATTCCAGATTAATGATTCACGAATCAGAAAACTATAATTATATCAATCTTTTTATTACGCGCTAGCAGATAATAGGCCTCTGCAGGGTGCATATTACAGGACTCGGCAGGAAGAGTCACTTCGCAGTGAAGGCAACATTTATAAAAAGCACTTTCCTTTCCCAATCTCTGTTCCATATGTTGCGGTTTGATTGGATGTAGCAATAGAAATGCAGTATATGAGAGTCTGAGTCTCCAGGCGTCCTCGGTCATAAGTCTGCGTTATCTGCAATTCGCTTTCTGCGCCCCCCAACATGACCCAGAAGATTTACATTGAAAACAATGAGGCCTTGATTAAATGGAGGCCATTAAAAAGATGTACTTCATTATTCTGACTAAGGAGCCCATGCACCAAACTGCATATTTATTCTTGCATTTTTTTTTTTACTCTTGTTTTCTATTTATCAGTCTTTTCCTTCTCCCACTGATGTCCCCATTGTTCATTTTCTCCCATTCTCCATTCCAGTGGCGTACCTACCATGTGACCGGGCCCCTGCGACCGTGGGCCGCCTCCTTCTGGGCCGGTGCACAGCCGCACCGGCCCGTGTCCGGGTTCCCGGGTATCTGGCAGGAGGGGAGAACTATGCTGTCCTCAGCTCTCTATATTGTGTATCTTTGTATTATACTAAGCTCTCTGTATTGTATGAGTATCTCTGTATTATACTCTGCTCTCTGTATTGTATGAGTATCTCTGTATTATACTAAGCTCTCTGTATTGTATGAGTATCTCTGTATTATACTCAGCTCTCTGTATTGTATGAGTATCTCTGTATTATGCTCAACTCTCTGTATTGTATGAGTATCTCTGTATTATACTAAGCTCTCTGTATTGTATGAGTATCTCTGTATTATGCTCTGCTCTCTGTATTGTATGAGTATCTCTGTATTATACTCAGCTATCTGTATTGTATGAGTTTCTCTGTATTATACTCTGCTCTCTGTATTGTATGAGTATCTCTGTATTATACTAAGCTATCTGTATTGTATGAGTATCTCTGTATTATACTCAGCTCTCTGTA